ATATGTATAAACACAAATGGTGGTCATTACTGTATGTGTCAGGAAGGATATTCATTTAATAATAGTGACACAAACTGTACAGGTTAGACTTTAGGTGCATTGATAACTGACTTTATGATGATTGCTTAGATTTTAATGAATGTATTGAAAACAATGGTGGCTGTGATCACACCTGTACCAATACTGTTGGTTCATATCTTTGCACCTGTGACACTGGATATAGTCTGAATACTGATGAACACAATTGCACTGGTTCGAAAAATATTAATTATCCTTTTAAACATGTTAACCTAATAGATATAGATGAGTGTGATTCCAGTAATGGAGGTTGTGATCAGATATGTAACAATGTTCCTGGTAGTCATTACTGTAGTTGTAAAGTTGGTTACATAATGCATTCAAATGCAAGCACTTGCATAGGTAAAAAGATCTGATTAGTATGACACCATTATTATTAAGAAATATAGATATAAATGAATGTATAGACAGTGATTGTGAGCAAATATGCAGTAATACTGATGGCAGCTACACATGTTCTTGTAATAATGGTTATTCTTTGAATAGTGACGGTAGAAACTGCTCAGGTATTATTCTTTTGTTTTTAATTATCTTATATTGGTGACATTAATAGATATAGATGAATGTATAACTAACAATGGTGGCTGTGAGCAAATTTGCATCAATAAAGAACCATTGTTTACTTGCTTGTGTCACTTGGGATTTAGGTCACAAAATTCTCAATTTTGTTCTAGTAAGTTGATATAGATTAAATATTTTTAACCTTCAATTAAAATTAGATATTAATGAGTGTATGGAAGGCACATCAGGCTGTTCTCAAATTTGCCAAGATACCCAAGGAAGTTACTTATGCAGCTGCCGTGATGGGTATCTACTAGAACTTGATAATCATACATGTACTGATATTAATGAATGTATCATTAATAATGGAGGATGTGAAGAAATATGTGATAATACTAATGGCAGTTACACTTGTTCCTGTCAGACTGGCTATACAGTTGATAACAGTGGTCATAATTGTACAGGTTTGACTTTCAATGCAATATAATGTCACAAACTTTTTAACAGATATTGATGAGTGTAGTTCAAATAATGGAGACTGTGATCAGATTTGTACTAATCTTGAAGGAACTCATAACTGTTCTTGTAGCTCTGGTTATTTAATGGCAGCTGATGGAATGTCATGCATTGGTACAGTAAATAAAGATTAGGCATTAACATTCTCTTTAATAGATATTGATGAGTGTGATGATAATAATGGAGGCTGTTCTCAAATATGCTCCAACACTGATGGAAGCTTTGAGTGTGAATGCCATCATAGATATCGCTTTATTGACAATAGTACCACAGATTGTATAGGTATGTTTGAGAATTTCAATAATAATTTAGTAATCACAATTAGATATTGATGAATGCCTTGTTAATAATGGTGGCTGTCAAAAAATATGTACTAACACAATTGGAAGTTTCAGTTGTTCTTGTCCATCAGGATACAGTGGCAATGTTTTCTGTTCAGGTAAGTTATTTCTATTAAATTTACTACATATAGCATTTATCATTTTAGATATAGACGAATGCCAATTGGGCATTTCAGGATGTGATCAGTCTTGTATTAATACTGTTGGTAGTTACTACTGTGAATGTGAATCAGGATACACTTTGACCAATGACAGTCATTCCTGTATAGGTTAGTAAATTAAGTACAAAAACTTGATATCAATTATAATCACAGATAATGATGAATGTGTAATGGGAACTAATATCTGTGATCAAGTCTGTATCAATAATCCTGGCTCATATAATTGTTCTTGTCATACTGGTTATTCACTCAAAGCAAATGGGATTTCTTGTATAGGTATAAATGGAATACATCGCACAATTAGAATTATTCATTGCAGATAATCATGAGTGTCAGATTAATCCTAATATTTGTGAACAAAGTTGCATTAACACTGATGGCTCATTTTATTGTGAATGTTACTCTGGATATAGATTGGATACTCAAACTAATAATACTTGTTCTGGTTTGTTTATTAATAATACATAACTGTTTGATATTTTTCAATGTTTATACAGATATTGATGAATGTATTGAAGGAACATCAGGATGTGATCAGATATGCAACAACACTGTTGGTAGTTATAACTGCAGTTGTTTGACTGGGTATCAGTTAAACAGTGATGATCATAATTGTGATGATGTTAATGAATGTACCATCAGCAATGGAGGATGTGAACAGATATGTGTAAACACTAATGGTGGGCATTACTGTATGTGTCAAGAAGGATATTCATTTAATAATAGTGACACCAACTGTACAGGTTAGACATTGCATGCATTGATAACTGACTTTACGATGATTACACAGATAATAATGAATGTATTGAAGACAATGGTGGCTGTGATCATACCTGTACCAATACTGTTGGTTCATATATTTGTAGCTGTGACACTGGATATAGTCTGAGTACTGATGAACACAACTGCACTGGTTAGGAGAGTAGTAATTATTTTTTAACCATGTTAACCTAATAGATATAAATGAGTGTGATTCCAGTAATGGCGGTTGTGATCAGTTATGTAACAATGTTCCTGGTAGTCATTACTGTAGCTGTAAAGTTGGTTACATACTGCATTCAAATGGAAGCACTTGCATAGGTAAAAAGATCTGATTAGTATAACACCATATTATTAAGAACTGTAGATATTGATGAATGTATAGACAGTGATTGTGAGCAAATATGCAGTAATACTGTTGGTAGCTACACATGTTCTTGTAAAATTGGTTATTCTTTGAATAGTGATGGAAGGAACTGCTCAGGTATGATCACTAAAATTATATTGACCATTTGTACTGATTTATAAAGATATCAATGAATGCATTACTAATAATGGAGGATGTGAACATATTTGTATTAACAAGATACCATTATTTGATTGCTTATGCATGAATGGTTTCAGATTACAAAATGAAAAATTCTGTTCAGGTAAAAACAAATTTTTTTGAAAATAAATATTCTAATTTTCAGATATTAATGAGTGCCTTGAGCAAACATCAGGTTGTTCACATGATTGTGACAATACAGAAGGAAGTTACTTATGCAGTTGTCTAACTGGATATCTACTAGAATCTGATAATCATACTTGTACTGATATTAATGAATGTATCATTGATAATGGAGGATGTGAAGAAACATGTGATAATACTAATGGCAGTTACACTTGTTCCTGTGAGACTGGCTATGCAGTTGATGAAAGTGGTCATAATTGTACAGGTTTGTTTTCATTTATACTTCAATGCAGTATCTGTCACTCATTTTTACAGATATTGATGAATGTAGTTTAAATAATGGAGGCTGTGATCAGATTTGTACTAATCTTGAAGGAACTCATAATTGTTCTTGTAGATCTGGTTATATCATGGGAGCTAATAAAGTGTCATGCATTGGTACATTGAATAAAGATTAGGTATTTACGTGCTCTTTTAATAGATATTAATGAGTGTGTTGATAATAATGGAGGCTGTTCTCAAATTTGCTCAAACACTGATGGAAGCTTTGAGTGTGAATGCTACAATGGATACGGCTTGATTGAAAATAGTACCACTAATTGTATAGGTAATGTTTAAAAGTTTATAATTATAATTATTGTTGCCATCATTTAGATACTAATGAGTGCCTTGTTAATAATGGTAACTGTCAACAATTATGTACTAATACAAATGGAAGCTTTTATTGTTCTTGTAAATCAGGATACAATGGCACTGTTTTTTGTGAAGGTATGTCATTTCTATTAAATTTATTTTATATAATATTTATTTTAGATATCAATGAATGCAATTTAGAAATTTTAGGATGTAATCAAACCTGTATTAATACTGTTGGTAGTTACTACTGTCAATGTCTATCAGGATACACCTTAAGTAATGACAGTCATTCCTGTATAGGTTAGTATACAGTTATGTGAAACTCGAGTCATGTCAATCACAGATAATGATGAATGTTTAATGGGAACTGATATCTGTGACCAAGTCTGTACCAACGATCCTGGTTCATATCATTGTTCATGTAATACTGGTTATTCACTCAAATCAAATGGGATTTCTTGTATAGGTAATAATGAAATAGATAACACAAT